TTTGTCCGAGAACTACTAAGCAATAGAGTACCACAGGGATAGTCACCCAATCAGTGGCTACAAATCCCTATTTTTCATCCAATAATTCTGCATAAAATATTAGAGTTCCTTTTCAGCAAATAAGGATTCCCCAGCTCTAAAAAAAACAAACAGTAAAAAAAAAAAAATAGCACAGCATCAGTAGACATAACAGATTCTCATTCTCCTTATCCCCATTGTCCGGGTCAGGAACTGCTTATCCATTATAGCTTCTTTAGTCCAAAATGCTTTTGGTAGGTCAAACAGTACAATTGTTTCAGCATCAGGGAGGCACAAGAGTCCCATTTCATTTTTCCTAATGACCAGCCTTAAATGACTACAGGTCTTAACAGTGCTGGCAAATTATCAAGGCCTTCTACATTACATGGTCAATGGTCCTTTTAATAGAAAAAGCAATAATATATAGTTGTTTGCACCAAGCAAAACTCTTTAGAAAGTATTAGTTTAAGATAACAGTTCAGGAGCTATTAACAGCTACAAATGTTTGCAGAAACCACTCCCCTCCCTCCTCCCTTCAAATGAGCTGCTGAAGATGAGGGAGATGAAATTAAAAAAAGGCTGCATTTTATACCGTAAGTGACTTGTTAGCTGGAAATGTGTTGTTAAAGTTCAATAAATTTGAAGAAGACTGAGTTACGCTGTCGTAAGCTGAAATATGGACTATAAGAAGGTTAAAGGAAATCATACAGAGGTTGACAATGAAGAAAGAAACAGATAATGTCATATAGGCACAGCAGGAAGTATTTCTAGGTAGAATTGAAAGAGACCAAGAATCTCAAACAAAAGTCAAACTTTGCCAATAATCACTTTTATTTTTTCATACTAGCATAACATGAGAATTGACTTTGTGTCTTGCTGACATAGCAACTAAGAAAGTCGTGTTGCATTGACCATTATTGATTGCAAGCAATGCAAGCTGGGGGGGAGGGGGACACCTACGCCATACCATATATTTTCAATATTGACCTTCCATTCCTTTTGTATGGCTCTTTGGGCTGGCTATTGAATTTGGACTGCAGTGTAATAAACAGCTGAGGTTTAATTAATGGTAAATGAATACAAGACACAGGTTATGACTTTAACTAATTAGGGAATTGTTGAATTAAGTCTGCCTTGGAATGCAAGGCAGTACAATCAATACCCAATAAAAGGACTATGTATGTAATTTACCTGCAAATGTGTTTCCAATATCATCAAAGTGAGTTTAAATAAGTAAGATATATGAAAGTCTACCAGAAAAAAAGTTTTTTTTAAAGTTAACACTTCACATAGCTTATAGAACAATGAGAGTAATAGAACTAGTTTAATATGAAAGAAGACCAATCTTGCCCACAGACTCAGTTCAAGAGAAGTAAATGAAACAATCACTAAGTCTAATAACAGCAAAATGATGGACTGCAAGATTAGGAAGCTTTGTGGTTGAATGTTTGGTATGAGGAGGTAGTAAACTAGTCAGGGAAGAGAGAGCATCTGAAAGTAATGCATTCTTCTATTGCAGTGATGGCGAACCTTTTCAGCACCATGTGCCCAAACTGGAACGTGTGTGCATGTGCACTTGCCGGAGCGACAGAAACCCAAAGACCAGCTGGCCAGGGCATGCATGCCTGTTTTTGGCCATTTTTCAGGCCATTTTTGGACCATTTTCAGGCTGTTTTTGGACCATTTTCTGGACCGGTTTCGGAACATTTTCAGGCTGTTTTTCAGACCAAAAGTGGCTGATAAACAGCCTGAAAAAAGCCTGAAATATGCCCTTAGGGGAGGTGCTTTTCGGGCTGTTTCAGGCCATGTTTGGCCCAAAAATGGTTTGTTTTTTGGCTGTTTTCTGGCTCTCTGGTGCCCACAAAGAGCAGCTACTCCAAGGCTCATGTGCGCGATGGGAACCAGAAAAGCAGCTGGCAACGGCCCATGTGCCCACAGAGAGGGCTCTGTGTGTCACCTCTCGCATGCGTGTCATAGATTCGCTATCACGAACCTGTGCTTACTGGACACACTGAGAAGCTTTATATCAAACCAGTTAACTTTGGTTTGGGAACAGCCTTATTTTTAGGCTCTAAGTATCCAAATAATCTCCAGTAGGGAAGCTTATTTCTCCAGTCTGTTTCTCTTGAAGCATGACTAAATTCTAACTTTCTGGAAGGTTTGTGGTCTTTTAACATATATTTCAGAAGTGATATTGTGCATTTTCAGCTAGTCCACATATACAGATAGTCTTTGCTTAATGACTGTTCACTCAGTGAACATTTGAACTTAAGATGATGCTAAACAAGTGGCAACTACAACTGCTCCTCATACTTAAAATGCATCCCACAACCCACAACCAGGTGGTCACAATCTGGGTGTTTGGTGAACAATGCATAATCATGACATTGCAAGGTCACCTGGTCCCATTGGTGACTTTGTTTGCCAACTTCCTACAAGCAAAGTCAGTGGGGAAGCCAGTAGGCGGTCACAAGTAGTGACATCACATTTAATAACATTGCAAGATTCGCTTAATGACAGCAACTGGAAATGCTGCAACTTCCATTGCTAAATGACACAGTCATGTGATATTATATTTTACGATTGCTTTACTCACCAACAGAAATTCTGTTTGCAAATACCATTGTTAAATGAGGCTGAACTGTATTTAAAGTTTAAAATTTATTATATTGTTGGTTGCCTTAGAATTCAAATCCATTGACAAGAGCAACCGAAACAGTATGGATATCAGGAAACCAGTCCTCCTCCACAACTGCTGATGAGACAATGTCTAGGTTCACAGATAATATCAATCCATTATGTACTTGACAAGAGTTCATTGAATGAACAACAATGTAGTATATTATGTGAATTGAAACAAATGCAATCAATCAAACCATACTTGGAATCCCCCACATTTTTGATCTCATAAAATACTTTTAAAATTTTGAAAGCATATTGCGGATTCTTGCACAAAATGGCTCTGGGGGAGGAGAGATTATTCATTCAAAAGAGGTTGCCATGACCAAGTACAGCATGCTATCAGACACTTCTGTCTAGCATTCCTTCCTACCCCTTCCTTATCTATTTTTGTTTTCCAGGGTAAATGGGTGGATTTTCAACTCCAGGTCCTCTTCCCTAAATGTTCCCACCTGATGCAACTTTGGAGGCATGCCTGCTACATGACAGCCCCAGCTCATTGGAACACCTCCCACCAGAGATCAGAGGGATCCTTACCCTTAATTAGCCCTCGAAAAGTGAGGGGGGGGGCTTTAAAGAGTTGGCTCTTCCCCTAATCATTGGGATAGGATGGGGATTGAGCTACAAGGATGTTTGATCTGGCAGAAAAGAGTACTTTTGTTTATAAACATATTTTTGGGGATTGTCACGAGCTGACTAAAGTCACTGTATGAGATAAGTGGTGCATAAGTCCTGTAAATAAATAACCAATAAATCAGTAGGATGCAGCCATCCTTATTTATATGTTCTAGTAAACTTTATACAGCCCATTTGGTTTTCTAAGGAAGTTTAGCAGTCCTCCAAGTGTGAAAAAATGATATGAGAGAGTATTGCTTTTCAACACGTCAGTTTCCAATTTTTAATTAATTTGTTTTAAATATGTAAGAAACATATTTCTTCTTTCTTCTCATAGCTAGGCATGAGACTTACTGTACCAAGAGATTTCAGAAAGATAGGAATTTAGTCACTGAGTACTTGAAAAAGAAGAGACAGGAGACCTAAGGATCAACTTAATCTGGGCTTTCATGTATGTAAGGGTCAATTGTAGTTGACTAAAATCTCACAGTCCCCAATCAGCATGGCCACAATAATTGGCACCACATAAAATCTCTTTTGCTGAAGTGGGAAGACCCAAGTTGAAGATATCAGAGAACTTCGGGCCAATGTTGGAAAGAAACCACCTGAATTGGGATGAGGATTCAAGTGGGGAATTATTCTGGACTCATTACATAAACATAAAGAGATCAATGCCTTTGAGTCTTAGGTAGGCTTCCCAGGCAGAAACTGCCAGTTTGGGCAGATTCCTGTGAAATAGGCATAGCACAAAAAAGTAGCTAGTTTGATCTCTATATATCTGGGTATAGTTATTAATACCTGACAGCAAATCACTCTCTCTCAGACTAATCTAGGGGATGTAGCTATGGGATAAAGATTGGAGAGAGTATTTACTACTGCCTTGAGCTTCTGGAGAAAAAATGGGAGGCAAATATATTGAATAAAAAAAGAATATTAGAGACTTCTACAAGTAGCCCTTGACTTACAACAATTCATTTAGTGACCATTCAAAGTTACAATGCCACTGAAAAAAGTGACCTATGACCACTTTTCACACTTATGAGCTTTGCACATCCCCATGGTCATATGATTTGGATACTTGACAACCGGTTCATATTTATCACAGTTGCAATGTCCTGGAGTCAAGTGATCCCCTTTTGCGACCTTCTGACAAGCAAATTCAATGAGGAAGCCAGATTCACTTAACAACCATGTTACTAATTTAACAATTGCAGTGATTCACTTAATAAATGTGGCAAAAAAAAGTCATAAAATGGGGCAAATCTCCTTTAAGAAATTTCTCATTTAGCAACATAAATTCTAGGCTCAATCATGGTCGTAAGTCAAGGACTACATGTAGTTGTATGGTTCAGTACTTCTCACTAATTGTTCTTTTTACAAATCAGCAGCCCAGGCGAAGCATGGATCTGGCTTCTAGCCTAAGAAGCATATAGTACAAACTCCATAGTGAAAGGTTCCAGAAATATTCTCAGGACCTATGCTTGCAAAAAAAAAAAAAGTTCACTTTTCACAATACCACAAATAGTTACATTCATCTTAATAGGACAGAAAGTTATCACATACAAAAGCCACTTTAGTTTTGGTCACCATTGCTCCCACGTTTCACAAATTCAGTGAGTAATTTCTGAAGTGTTTGAAAGTGGGGAGGAGGAAAGGGGAGTGGAGGAAAAGAGATGAAAGACACTAACCTACTCCCTTGTGTGCATCTATGCTGGTAAATTCTATTGTACCATTATGGCTCCTTTTAGGATTTTCCTGATATTCTTTGTGGTTCCCACTGGGACAATATCTGTAGGCGAGTCCATAATCAGCAAGATAAACCTGGAAGACATGAGCAGAGACATGAATGATGCTTTTGTCCTCTGAAAAAGTATAACCTTTCTAATTAAGCCAGAAGAAAATGGTGGCTTAAGGACACTGTTAGATCTGCATTTTATTAAGCCAAATTGCACCTCAGGATAAAATATGTACATCTGGGGGCTATTAACAGCTACTTTCCCCTTCTAAGTTGTGTGCCTTCTACGCGCTGCCTTATTTCCAAGCAATACAGAATAAAATCACATTTTGTTCTTAGGCTCCTTTCTCTCCAGGTGGGCATCCAGACATCATAAAATGCAATATGACTTTTATCTTTCTTCATGCTGCTTATGGCAGCCTTCCTTCTCACAAAACACACTCACATACAGATCCCACCTTTCAACAACCAGCCCTGCAACAAGTTCAAAATAGGTTCCGTTACAGGCAAGAACACAAGGAAAAGTTTCATAAATACCCATTGCGTTAACATACCAATTTCCTCCCCAGAAAGCATTCTAAAGGAATGCATCTCTTTACAATTGAACAGCTGATTTTTCAGAACTTTTCTAAGGCACTACCATCCCCCTAAGTGAACACTTATCATCATAAAGTGAACAGTATCATTCCAGAAAAGATGGATTCTGCAATACCTAAGTTTGGCAGAGATTAACAAAACAGAGTGCCAGTTTGGCATCAGGATAGTGTTGGAAGAAATGTCCATCTGGGTTCAGTTCCAAGTGGGGAAAAAGACACTGGAAACATGGAGGTTGTTTGGAAAGATGGTTTAATGGTGGACAGGATCACATGGCTTGAGATCCTGAGCAGAAAATGGAAGAGATGCTGAAAGTCCCTGGTTTTATGCCATCTCTGGGCCCTACCCCAGAGCTTCCTGTTTCTGTGTAAGAAATGCATTCTGATTGGTGGT